CCAAACAAGACTTAAAACATCCAAAATCCATAGAACCAAAGTGGATATCCAGATCCATCAAGGAAAAATGGATATCCAAGTTCAGAAACAACTTTCCCAAAATCCTTACAACCAAACGGTGTCAAAGCCAGCAGAAACAACTTTTCCAAAATTTTAGCAAAACAAGGTCAAAGAAATCAACAAACCAGCCATGAAAATTGCAACAACCAACATGTCCAGGCTCAAGCAAACAAGTATTATATAAACAGCAGCCTCACCATCGGTTCATAATAAAAAAGGAAATCCAGAAGGAGAAGAAAAAAGGAAGTTCAATCAGCAGAAAAATAAGGAAAAAGAGGCGAAAAAGAACCAACTCAAATCGCTTCAAATCTCACGAAAAAGGTGAACAATTTTGATACTAACAAAATTTTTTCCGTTTACTTTATGTTTTCAGAATCCTACCGGGAAGAGCAAGAATGGTGGGAGGAATGAACGAAAAGTTTCAAAAAAACAACAATGGAGAAGTTGCGCAGCCCCTCCCCCATTTTTATTTCAATTGCTTTATATTCTTTTTTCTTTTTCTTTATTTCATTTTTTTATTATTATTATTAGTATTATTTTATATTTTTATAGTTTAAGGAAATTAGATTCATTAAAATCATTCATTCATTTTTATTTTAACTTTATATTTTGGTTTAATTAGGTTGATAAAACCTTTCGTAAAGTTAAAACCTTTTTTATTATTTTTATTTTACAATTTAGTTTAATTAGGTTAAATTAAAATCTTTCTTAAGTTAAAACTTTTTTTTAAAAATTAAAACCTTTGTTAAACTAAAACTCTTTTTTTGAAGATGAAAGTATTTGTTTAAAAAAAAAATCAAAACCTTTTGTTAACATTAAAACCCTTTTTTAAATTTTTTTTCTTAAAGTTAACTAGAAACCTTTTTTTTAAAGTTGATTAGAACATTTCTTTAAAATTCAATATTCCTCAATTGAAAAAACCTTTTTTGAAAAAAATAAGATTTTTATTAGTCCATTAAAATTAGGCAAAATTAAAAATTAACATTTTAAATTCAAACTCTTTTTTTTTTTGTAAATTTCTCATTTAGTTTAAATACCTTTTCTAAAATCGTCTAACGTTGCGCTTTCAACATTACATTGAACCTTGTCAGTTATCCTCGTATAATTTTTATGTCGGTCCATTCATTGCTTTCTCAGTTGTACTGTTATAATACTTCATTTTTCATATTTCATTTTATGGTTGTAATTTACACAAGGATATTGTCGCTTTGTAATTCCCTTACTTTCCGCATTTTATTTTCTTTGGGTTGTAATTTATACGAGAATATCGTCGTTGTGCAATTCCTTTACAGTTTTCGTACCTTTCCCGTATTTTTATACTGCCGCTTAATCGTATTTTCATTATTTTATTTACCGTTAAATCCCTTCCGAAGGAATAGGTCTAGCCACCTCCGCATCAATAGTCCTTTACCTTTGACTTTTTCACCGCTCAAACCCTAATTGCATAGGCGTCCCCGCCGCAGACCAAATTACCCTTTACCCTAGCATTAGGTTAAGGAGTCGTCGCACTCTGTTTTAGGTTTCCCGCCGCGGAATACCTAGTTTTATCCTTTTTAATTCAACTCTTTACAACGTAGAGATTGAAGTCGTCTCACTCCACGTAAGCGCTTCCTTAAGAACGGTTATTCCCCATTGAAATCTTGACCGCCGTCAAGAAGTTTCTCTTCCTCCCTTTCGAGGGGAACTACGATTACTCTGATTCCATCCCCTACCTCGGTTACGTAGGCACTGAAGTTTCTCTTCCTCCTTTTCGACGAGAACTTTATTCCGAAATTAATTCCGAGCCATATCTCCATAAGAACAACGCTAATTTTGTAATTTGAATTTCGAAATCAATTGAGACTCGCGACTATCCAACCTGATATTCATTATAATTCCACTGCGCCTCTAAAATTTTAAGCTCATAACTAGTAGAGGAAGAAAAAAAATGAATGCGTGCACTTGTTAAAATAAAATCCTTGAAACGATTCTCGCACTGATCCAATCCCAATCCGTCAGACCTTAAAATCCTCAGATCGAACAAATCAAATCAATTAATAACCCACACTTCATATGACGGATAGCAGTCCAATTTTTGACTCTGGAGGAACTGTACCGAGGGATCTGACGTCAATACTGTCGTAGACATCTAACCCATTCTCAAACCAAAATCGCATAATTCGGGGACAGAAAACCCTAATCGCTTGAGGATCCTCTGATAATGAATCGGCTTTGTAATCGTCAGCAGACTAATGATACATCTTCATGCATTAAATGCATACATTAATATTTTTCGGCTTTTTCCGCACACCTGCAAAACGACAAACTAAGCAAACCAGTTAGCGGTTAGTTAAAACAAAATACGGAAGAAACTGAGATGCAAAATGAATCGAATGATCTAAGGATAAAATTTGGGGTATGGCAACGGGTTTTTGTGTGTTATTGGTCTAGAGGACGGATCCAGTTTAATGTAAAAACTGAAAAATAATAACAGTCGTTGGTACCACATGCATGGGTATTGCATTTGAGTCTTGCATTGAGTCATATTGTGTCTATGATTGTAATATGAGATTATGTGCATTATGTGAATTTGATGAATTGGTGAAATTGTGGATTTGTGAGTATGTACTTATGAATAGTATGGTTGCATGAGTGATGCTATGTTTATAAAGCATTTGAAGTGTGAAATAAATTATGCTATGCATGTATGCTATATATTATATATTATATATTATTATATGATTTCGATAATTATGTGAATTTTCACCCTATTGTTGGAATGATGTTTTATACGACATTGCTCAGGTACTGAAGAGTAGAAATGCTCCTAGCACGAGGGTAGCTGTTGGAGTTGCTTATTTTATTTTCCTTATATTTTGGTTCGAGTCATGCTCTGGTCATGTAACACTGGGAACATTTTGATTCATGTTTTAAGAGATACTTTATGTACTCTATTTTATTTTGTAATTGTTATTTGAATTATGTGGAGTTTTACCTTTCATGCCTAAGTGGTGATATAAATGAGTTATTTATGAGACTATTTATTATGTTCGTTACGAATGGAAGTGATTCTGCTGCTACATGCTATGTGAAAGTGTATGAAAAACATGAATTTAATTTAAGTGTTATCGAGCATGACATGTGTATGTGTGATGTTTGAATTTTATGTGACACCCTTATTTGAGATGCATGTTATCTTACACTGATTTATGACGTATTATTCTGTGGGATTTAGAGGAGTGTTACATGATATTCACGTCGAAAACCCTAACGTTTAAATTTTAGAAATAAATGATAACCATGTAGTGACGTAATAATCACGTCGCAACTTTGCCACGTGATATCCACATCGCAAATGTTCCAATGATCATATTCTTTTTGTCAGTCAACCTGCACCTCTAGTGACCCATCACTTCATCGTCTGATTTTTTTCCCTTCCTAAACCGTTGCGACGTGATATTCACGTCACAACTAAAATTTTGAAAATTTCGAACTTCCCTCTTCTGTAGGTCTGACCCTTATAATTGTTTTTTTTTTTAATTTAAACGTTGCAACGTGATTTTCACGTCACAACCGTTTTTTCTAAAACCTGACACACCATGCAAAAACTTTATGCTTATTATTTTAATATTAAAAATGTTAGTGACGTGAGAAACACGTCGCAAATGTCCATATTTTGCCACATATATTTCACTTCACTAAATTACGTAACAAGAGACAATTATTCTTATAGTGAAGATAGTTGTTTGATTAAACATGTGTCAGAGTTTTATATGTGATTTAACGCACTTGTTCAATTAATCACCTCAATTAGATATAACTTTATGGCGGAGCTTCCCGAGGCCCCTATAATCTCATGTCTCCAATGGATTTATTCCTTAGAGCATCTTTAGTGGGAGTATCTTAAGTGTGTAAACTAAGATATTTTTTGTGGGCCCAAAGTGATTTGTAGGATTTAAAAAATTTATAGTTGATTTGAGTTGTTTTTACTTTAATTATAGTTGTTTATAAAAAACTAAAACTTGATCCTATATTTTATATTATATGTGGGCCCAAAGTGTTTTTACTTTAATATTATATGTTTCAAAATAAATAGCATACGTTAGCTATATAATTGTCGGAAATTAAAAGTTAGTGAGTTAAATGTCATGTCATAGTCATTCCAATGCAAATTATTTATAATCATTGTTAACTATAAAAATTTGACTATTAAAAACCTGCATTAGAGATGCTTTTAGATAAGATGATCTCGTAAACTGGATCTAACATTTTTTTAAGATTGTGGACATAACAAATCATAATCTTATTAGGTCATTGGATGTATTTTCACCGGTATAATGGGAACAAAATTATTCCAAAATTTTTATTAATAAAAATTAATAAAAAAAGAAAAAGTAAAATCAATGAAATTTAAATATTAAAAAAAGCGTTAGCGATACTAGTAATAGATAGAAAAATGATTAGATAGTGGTATTGTTCATATATAGAGATACAAATAAAATAGATATTATAAAATTATAAAATACTTAATCTAACTTTAAATTTTTGAAAAAAAATATAATTGAGATGATTATGTTATAAAAAATATAGATAAATAATTAATATTGATGGATTATATTTGATTGCCTTGTATAAAAATATTGAATAAATAGCATCAATTGCATTTCATTCATCTTTCTCATTTCACTTTTTACGGTAATTCGTTATCTCATCAGTTTTTTTATTTTTTAAATTTCCTTATTAAAATTCTATTTCCAACTTTCCATAAATATTTCAATCTTTTTTCAATGATAAGATCGGAAAATCACTTAATTTGCTGCGATTTATGCGCTGGGCTTTTTGATCCAGTTGCAAAGTAAAAAATCCAATTTTTAGGTTTAAATAAAAACCTAAACCTCACTGTTTTTTTATTATACTTCATTACTTTCAGTTTCTTTATTGATTCTCTCTCTGCTCTAAGCATGAGTTCTAACTCCTCCATTGCTTCTAACTCTATTGATTCTTTCAATGGAATTGATAGCGTGGATTCTAAGATAACTCTTTCAAAGATTGTTGTTGACGTGGTTATGGAGCATGGTGTTACACTTGATGAAGAAGATGAAATAGCCTGCATATATTGTGAGCACTATGTAACAACTCGCGGGGTTTATCAATTTTTACATCACTTGGCTGGAACTGAAACTAAACCTTGTGACGGTGTTAGTGAAGAGGTGAAGAATGAAATGATGGAGATTCTTACCATAAACATGGGTTTAAAGCCAATCTCTGTTGCTTCTAGCCCTAGTGGTTCCTTCTATGGAGATGTTAGTGTGGATTCGTCAAAGAATGTTATGGATTCGTCAAAGAGTGTTATTGATGTGATTTTGGAGCATAGTGTTTTACTTGACGAAGGTCTACTACAACGTTGTCGATATTGTGATGATTACTTAGCAACTCATGGGGGTTACCATTTCTTATGCCACTTGGCTGGAACTGAAAATGATGTTAAAGCTTGCGAGGGTATTGCGGAAGAGGTGAAGAAGGAAGTGTTGGACATTTTTCATGCTTTCCGAGAGAGTAACACGAAGGGGTGTGTTAGCGTTGGTGAAAAAAGAAAATGCAATGAAGTGGCTGTTGAGAGCTCTAGAGAAGTTTCCAAGAGGAGGAAGAGAGATGGCTCGCAAGCCGCCGTCAAGAATGAGGTTAAGAAGAGTTTGAGAGAGGAAACATATCGAGCAATTGCGAGTTTTTTCTACAACAATGGCATACCGCTGGATGCAGTAAAGAGTGATGAATTTAAGTGTATGTGTGATTTGGTTTCAAGACATGGCTTAGGGTTTGAGCTACCTTCTTTTGATGACATTAAAGGGAAATTATGACGAAAGAGATTTTGAATGACAGAGAGATATAAGCACATGATATTATGAGTTTATTTGCACAAGATACTATTATCTATTTTATACACAAAGATTTGTACTAGAGATTAATATATAGAATTTGACAACTTACTATTTTTGTTTATTTATGAAGTCTGAATTACATATGATTAAGTTATGAACTCAAGAATGTTGATGAAGATTTTAGTTTTGATTTGAAGTATCATTTGTTTTAATATTTAAATATTTAATAATTTGTTTTTGAAGAGTCAGCTTGAAAAAGTTTCAATTCTGCTTGATAGATTTTTGTCATCTTCAATTTTCGCCAAAAGGTATTTGGAGAGTGTGTACTATTAAGAAATTCAAAGAACAAGTTTTTTTTTTTTGACAGGCTAATGTCTTGGAAGAATGTAAGAGATAGTTCTTCCTAGTGCTTCTATCTAATGAATTTCTTTTACAAATATGCATAGATTAAAGATCAATCTCATGAACATGTGTTCAAGTTACCCGATTACAAGTGGACAGTCGAGGTATTCCCAACAATGTCCTTGAGAGGCAGAGGTGTAAATCATCATTTGATACGAGAGCATGTTTGGCCCGTTTGTTTTTTTAAATGATTTTTATGGTATACATAATTTTGTAAAAAGAAAAATTTACAAAACAAATTTATCATAAAAGTTTTAAATAAAAATTTAGTTTGAATAGTTATTCTTAAAATATTATTTTATTTTTAAAAAAAATATTATTTTAGATATTTTATTATTTTATCAAAATTTTTTTTAAATATCAAAGTTTCAAAAAATTACTTAATTAATTTTGAAGTTATTTGAAAAAAAATATTGTCTAGATTCTTTAAGTTATTTAATAATAACAAGTTAGTTTTTTAAGTTTTTTTTTTCTATAATTTGATCATTTATGTTAAGTAATATTTACATCGTTGACCTTTTTCACATACTTCATTTCAAAAATGCTTATGTGTCACAACGGAGATGATATGTCATTTAACAACGTTGGTATATATCTTTGAAGCTTGTTGATTTAACATTTGTCTTATTCTTCATTTTAACAATAACAACGTATTTATTAATCTTTAATGAGAGTAAACTAAATGGGTAAACTAAAATATTTTTTGTGGGCCCAAAGTGTTTTATAGGATTTAAAAAATTTATAGTTGATTTGAATAGTTTTTACTTTAATGATGGTTGTCTATAAGAAACCAAAACTTGACGCTACATTTTATATTTTTTATTTAAGTTACCATTAATTTAATGCTGTTGAAATATTTTATTAATATTAAATAATATTATAATATCTTTCACATTAAATAGTTAACGTTAACTATATAGATAATGAAAACTAAACTTTAGTTCACTAAATGCCATGTCAGCTCTACTATAATGCAAATTCTTTATTACTGAGGGCATCTTTAATGAGAGTAAACTAAATGAGTAAACGACTAAGATATTTTTTGTGGACCCAAAGTGTTTTGTAGGATTTAAAAAATTTATAGTTGATTTAAGTAGTTTTTACTCTAATGATGGTTGTCTATATGAAATCAAAACTTGACCCCACTATTTTCAAATATCATGCTATTACTTTAATGCTGTTGGAATATTTTATTAATTAAATAAATAATATTATAATATATTTCACATAGTTAACGTTAACTATATAGATGATGAGAACTAAATTTTAGTTCACTTAGATGTCATGTCAGCTCTACTATAATGCAAATTTTTTATTACTAACGTAAGCTATACAAAATTTTGGTTTAACAATCCTTCATTAAAATTGCTCTAACGTAAGTTATACAAAATTTTGGTTTAACAACCATGTAGTGAACTAACAATTAGTTTTCGGCAGTTATATAACCAATGCACACTATCAAATTTCAATTACTTTGATTATTATTTTATAATATTAAAATATAAAACGTGGAGTCAAATTTTGGTTTTTTATAAATAAACTATCATTAAAGTAAAAACAACTCAAATCAACTATAAATTTTTTAAATTTTAAAAATTACTTTAAATCCACAAAAAATATATTAATTTATCAATTTAGTTTACTTCCACTCGAAAGCATTACAACTAAATTGCTCTACGAGTTTAAGATGCAACCACTTACCCTCAATTACTTAATTTTGCTTTCCAATACTGAGAAGAATTTGTTTGCAAATTCACTTATTTCTATTTAAAAATGAACCGTTACCGCGCCGTAACGATGATGATAATTCGAAACTCGTTATTGTATATTCCTTACTCTTTCCAAATAAATTAAATAACAACCGTAACCATACTACTGTATACACAAATTTATTTTATAATATATTATATGAAGCGGGCCAAAATTTTATTATATACTACAAATTCAAAGACCACTATGATTTAAGTATTTTTTATAATATTATTTAAAATTATATTTGATTTATATGAATTTATATAAAATTTTTAAATCCTAACCTATCAATTACATAAAAATTATTAGTTTCAACACTCACCTTTCCTTATATATAACTATATATCATAATTAAATTAATATCGAACTGTTAAAAAAAATAGCGGTAACGCTGCTTCCCCGTGGGTTGGCTATGGTATGTTGCTAGTTTGTTAGAACAGTTTAATCTTGGCGGACAACTTGTAATATATAACTAGCCATTAATATAATTTGCACAAAAAATCACTTTCTAATGCGAAAGCCCAATGCCTTATTTGTTCTTACGATAAATCACTTTTTAGAAACCTCACATACAAAAGGCTCAATTAATCTTTTATTTTTATTTTCTCTGTTTCTAGACCAACGTGTGTAGGTATTATCGTCGTCGCCGTGCGAATCTAGACCATATATAGAATGCTACTATCTCCGACGTTTACATCTCCGTCCAGTGGACAACCGTGAACAACCTGCCGATGCTGACTCCACGAGAGAGTGAAATTCACCGACTCCAGCTCCATCGACTTGTAACCTACCTCGGAGTGATATCGATCCATGTTTCCGCATTTTATACACTGCTTTTTTTTGCAATGGTGCCGCGGAAACCGTGCTCGGAGGTTTCGACGCCGGACGATACATTTGGCTTAATTCAATGCAGTTAATTATCATAATGTACACTTTTCCATGTGAATACCTAGCTGTAATCGTTGACCTTATGGTTCAGATTCTCTCTCCTTTAAATCTCACCTGTCTATTCTTCGGAGCAGTAATGCCGGACTTATCTCCTTCTCGCCGCCTTCCTCTTCATTCAAAAGGGTAATTTGTGATTCAAACATTTCTCTAATAACTCAGGCCTCTGTTTTTTTTCTTCTGAAAACAACATCTTGCGTTTTACCCTCCTTATCCTCACATACTGGTGACAGAAAATCCAAATAATAAAAAAAGATGCCTTAAAAATAACAACCATAGATTTCTCCTATTTTGTTGACATCATTGATTCGTGTTTACTTGTTTGTAGCTTGTGCTATCTTTTCTTTGCTTTTGTCATTACCCACGTGAATCCATCCATAAGTCAATATTGATTGCCTAACAGAAATGCATACCGTATTTTAAAAGTAATTATCATGTGTTTCTTTCAAGATAATAAATAAATAAATGGTTAAGTATTAAATTATAACTTAAACTTGTTCTAGTTGCAGGGTGGTTGGTTGCAGGAGTCAAAGTTCTATTAATTTGGTGTTCAACAGAGTTTCTTATTAGTTTGATGTGGCTGTATTAGCATGGTTGACATGGAAAGAACGAACGGTGACGGCGGTTCTTCAATTAGAAGACGTTCATTGAGCTTGTCGAGTCATAGAAGCCATCACACAGATAATGATGTTGATTGTGAGAGTGTTTCAGAAGCTGGAGATATTGGAGATCGAGCTCTTCCGAGCAGACGGTTCAGCGAGAGCAATAGTTTCCATTCGGAAAATGGAAGCACTGTTATTACGAACTCATCTGTTAGACCTTTGCCACAAGAACTCTCATCCACCCCACCTCTTTCTACTGATGCAACGGTTGGTTCTCATGACTCAAAACTTGTAAGCTCTCTTCATCACTACTTTTCATTTGATTGTGACCTCAGCACTTTAATGTTTCTCAATTAATCATATACGCGGATAGTGATTTTGTATACTTTCAGGAACCTCCTAAAGGCTTGCCACAGTTACTAGACTATGTTTCATGTATGGCTCACTTGGCTGTTTTTGGAATTCTTGGGGTAATAATATGATAATCTTTTCACTTACTTTGAGTTGTTAAAATATATTCATATTGATGATGGACTTATGCTAATACAGAAATTGTCACAATAACTATGCAGGTCCTCACAAGATATTTACTGCAAAAATTATTTGGCCCTGGGGTTGCTAACGTGACAAGCAATCATACTATTCTTTACCTTGACCTTCCTTCTAATATGGTATGTCCTCTCAAACAATATGGTGATAACATTCTTAAAAGCACAATATATATTAAATTCACCATACCTATTGCGTTTCTGACAAAAGGTAAAAGATTAACGCCGTCAGTAGATGGGTCCAAATTGGAATTTTCTAAATTTTGAGGTTGAAGTAGTTAGGTATTCTTTTTCTCACGGGTCAGGACTCAGGACAGAAAAAGATTGGCTGCTTTTGCACATCTTAAATCCATGATCCACAGGATAAGCAATAGAAAGAAATTGTTTTAGATCTTTCTATAACAGTGTTTTGGAATCAATCAGGCCAACACATTGCACATAACATGATTTACTTATCAATAGAACACAGTTGTAAACTAGTTCCGTATCTTGTTTTAATATAATCAATTTAGAAAATTTAAACTGATGTTAGGTGAATGTGAAACTTGCCAAGTCCATTTTGAAGTGCACACAAAAGGAACCTGATTCAGGTAACATGATGCTAATGTGTTTTGTTTATTTTTTTTTTACATTTCATTTCAGATTGGTTCATTTCTTATGGGATGGTTTGGCGTTGAATTCAAAAAAGACATATCTCACATGTCAGAGCATCTAGCCATAGGAATAACGA